CTACGATGGAGGAAGGGAAGGCAGGAGGGGAGGACGAGACGCGTGGGAACGAAGCAACATAGGGTGAGAATGCGGAACAGGAGAGACAGGACGAGCACGAGAGGGACAGCGAGACCAGACATGAGATGGAGGCGTCGGGTCAGGAGACAGAGGAGGACTAACAGGAGGGGAACGAGGTTGGAAATGGGCCGGGGACGAGTCCGGCGGAGGAAACACAGGACCTTGAACAGGAAGGGGAGGAGGCGGGGGGGGAGGCGCAGGCAAGCAGTCGGGGGAGGGAAGGCCGAGCAGGCGAAGGGCGGACACCGGCAGCGACTGCTGCTGCTGCTGCTCGACTCCGACACCTAGACCGCCAGCTGCGCCGCGACTAACTCGGAAACACTCCACTCGAGCACCCCTTGAGCGAGAATGCTCTCCAGCATCGGTACCACCCCCGAGCCCGCCGGGACAAGCCACGACAGGAACCCCAGAACTAGAACCCTCCTCAACGCCAGCACCCCCCGAGAGTCCACAAATGGCTGCAGTTGTTGTAACGGCGGCAGCTGCTGCTGTGACGGCGGCGGCTGCTGCTGCTGCGACGGTGGCAGCTGCTGCGGCGGTGGCTACTGCGACGGTGGAGGAGGAGACACCCTGGGGAGACAGGCGGCGAGAACTGCGCTGCTGGGCCACCCGAGTCAGCCGACTCCTCGACCGGGACAACCGACGGGAGAGGAGTGACGTGAGACACACGAGACGGAGCAGGACAAGGAGGAAGGTGAGCAGGGGCTCTCAGGGGAGTGGGGATCAGAAACAGGGGAGGGGAAACCGGGAGTCCAAGGTGTCGAAAGCGGTGGTAAAAGGAGACAAACTCGTCAAAAGTGGCGTCATGGGAGTGATGGAAGCGGTGAGACGGCGGGTGGTAAAAGTGCCAGTCAGACGAGTCAAGGGGAAAACCGAGGAAGATACAGGGGACAGTGCGGGAAGTGAGCTTGTCGGTGCCAGAGGCACGAATGTGAGCAAGGCAGCCGCAGACGTGGAACGCGGACACGTCACCAGGAAACCTGGTCCAAAGAAGGGTCGGCGAAACCTGCGGCCGCTGGGAGCGCGGCCACAGGTTAAGCTGGTGAGCGGCGTAGCGAACAGCGAACGGCCACAGAAAATGGGGTGAAGCAGCATGAATCATGGAGGTACGAGACACCTCCATGACCAAGCCGATGCGTCGCTCAGCGACCCCATTCTGCTACGGGGAGTCCGGTAGGGTGTACGACTGGGTGATGCCCTCCGCACGACAGAATTGTCCAAGCCGACCAGAGGCGAACTCGCCGCCACGGTCGGAGTGGAGACACAGCACAGGGAGACCACGGAAGAGGCGGGCAGCTACGACCCAAGAAATGAGAACGCCAGGCATGTCGGCCTTCCGCTCCAAGGGAAACACCGTGGTGTAGCGCGTGAAGTCGCCCGCGACTAGAAAGTAGCGCTCACGACGCGGTCCAGGTGTAGGGTCTGGAGGGGTGCAGTGGTGGGACGAAACGAGGAGGGTTGAGGAGCACGACGCAGCCGGCCCTCGACGCAGGGCGTGCACGGTGGCGCAAGTGAAGGAGGGAGGGCAGAAAGCAACGGAGGGAGACCTAGGATGAGACCGTGCTGGGACATGTGACGCAGACGCGGGAGTGCGGGATGACCTAGGTGGTGGTGCCACAGAAGTGACCGGTGAGTGAGCGACCGACACGAGCAAGCTGCAGCGACTTGGGTAGAAGCAGGGCCCGGGGAGGACATGCCAACCAACAAGGAAGCAATGTCCAGCGTAAACTGGCTGGACACCGGGTCCCGAGGGAACGTCGCAAGGGGGGAACCTGAGGCGGCCTCGGTACAGACAGCGTACGCTCGTGACCAGGAAACGTAGTGGTGACGCCGAGGTCCTGCAGACAGCCGACACCAACTAAGTACCTGGAGAACGAGGAGATGTGCAGGCATGTAAGGGAACCCGAGGGGATCGCTGGACAGGGAAGGGTAGTGTAGGTGCGAGCAACGACAGGACCAGAAGAGGGGTCCACAAGTGCGACAGCGGCAGATGTGGTAAGTAGCGTGAGTGTGGTGTGGTCGCGAAAGAAGCATGCGGATGCACCGGAGTCAAGTGTGAAGGACTGCGAAGCACTAACGGCAGACGAAGGAGGAGCGAGTGTGGAGCCTAGGCTAGACAATCAAATGATCCTACATCTGACGCAGCAAGGGTGTCTGTACTACACACAGGTGCGACGCCTAAGCTAGAGATCACAAGGTAATAAGATGCGGACACACTAGAAGCATCAGCATACAGAGAATACAAGGCAGAACTAATCTATTCCATGTCTAAGTCAAAAATAGGCACGCCGTGGCTCAGCAGACTGGGCCAGTCAGGGAGGTCCAGGGCCGGGCCGAAGCGGCGACGAAAGAGGTCGTCGAGGCGGCGGAATCAGCGAGCGGTTGGGTGCGGGCAGCGGCATACAGTGCCACATAGGGGCCCGATCTGCAGCTGGTACTGGCAGCCCATAGCACCAAAGCCACCGGTAGACGCCGAGCTGCGAGGACCGCCACCTCAGCCACCACCTCCAGGGGCTCCCAGCCACCCCGGCGGGAGGCGGGCCCATGGCTGATGCTGCTGCAGCTGCTGCGGCTGCTGCTGCTGCTGCTTCTGCTGCTGCTACGACTGCTGCTGCGGCTGTTGCTGCTCCTGGACACCTGCCCTAGCCCCCTCGTCAGAACCATTGTCGCCGCCACCACCACCACCACCACGCCCTCCCTTGGGGTCGCGACGGCCCCGATGCTAGCGCTACTGCTGCGGGAAGGCCGCTGCTGCGGTATCAGTGGCAGGAGCAGCCATAGCGACTGCAGCGGAAACGTCAGCGTACGTGCACTGGGAGGGAGCACAGCCCTGAAAGTTAGGGACTGCCGCAACCCCGCTCGATTGAGCGATAGTGCGTTGGCGAGTCTCTATCTTAGAAAGGTCAGCGACAAAAGTGGTCAGGGTGAGGTCACCAGGGTGCTGGCTAAGGAAGTGGTCGCGGGCAGTGGCTAAGCAGTTAGGCAGGCGCATGGCAATAAGGTACAGGGTAGCGCAGAACGGCGGGGGGAAGGCAGTGAGCTGGGCAGTATTGCTAGCAGCGCGATAGCTAGTTTCTAGTTCACAGAGGTGAGGGGCGAGATCAGCGACAGTGGGGAAAGCAGAGAGATCGGGGAAGAGCATGGGGAGGATCAAGCGTCCAGCTGAGGCATATGCAGGCGTGGAGTAGCGTGCAACTACTGCATCTAAGAAGTCTTTGGCGTTCGCGACAGCAGTGAAACGCGGGCGCTCAGAAAGGGGAAGTGCATGACTAATGGCAAGCTTGCGCTACAGCATGGCGAGAATCCCAGACAGCGCGAGCGAGCACAGCAGCAACAAAGGCCTCACTCTCAGCGGTGGTTGGGTCAGCAGGGAGGGGATCAGGCGCGGAGGGGCGGCGAAGCAAGCCATCAACATGCATAGCCAGGGAGTGCCCATCCTGGCGCTGACCTGTCAGGTGCCAGCGAAGATCGACAAGCCAGGCGGCGAAGTCGATCGCGTGCCCCTCCGCGTCCAGACGTAGCATGGCGTCCGCCATCGTGCAACCGCAGCGGCACTGGGATACAGCGGCACAGGGACACCGCGGCACAGCAGCACACGGACACAGGTACGCAGGTGCACGGCGATACAGCAACGTGGCGGCAGGAGGGCCTGGGGGCGTGGAAGGGGCCGAGGCGCACGAGGGGCCGGCCAGGCGTGCGATAGGCCAGGCAGGTGCTCAGGAGGGGCCGGCTAGGCGATAGGGGCCGGCTAGGCGCGAAGGGCCGGCTAAGTGCGAGGGGCCAGCTGGGCGCGAGGGGCCGGCGACGGCGCGCGGGGCCGGCTAGGGCGCGAGGGGCCGGCTACAGCGCGAGGGGCCGACTAGGCGCGAGGGGCCGGCTACAGCGCGAGGGGCCGACTAGGCGCGAGGGGCCAGCGACGGCGCGAGGGGCCGGCTACGGCGCGAGGGAGGGCCGGTTGGGCGCGAGGGGCCAACTGGGCACGAGGGGCCGGCTGGGCGCGAGGGGCCGCTGGGGGTCGATGACGGCGCGAGAGGGCCGGCTGGGGCGCGAGTGAGGGTCGGCTAGGCACGAGGGGCCAGCTACGGCGCAAGGGGCCAGCTGGGCGCGAGGGGTCAGCGACGGCGCCAGGGGCTGGCTACGGCGCGAGGAGCCGGCTACAGCGCGAGGGAGGGCCGGCTAGGGCACGAGGGGCCAGCTAAGCACGAAGGGGCCGAATAGGCGTGAGTGGCCGGCGACGGCGCGAGGTGGGGCCGGCTACGGCGCGAGGGGCCGGCTGCAACGCGAGGGGCCGGCTAGGCGCGAGGGCCCAGCGACGATGCGAGGGGCTGGCGTTGACGCGAGGAGCCGGGTACGGCACGAGGGAGGGCTGGCTAGGCGCGAGGTGGGGGGGGGCGGTTAGGGCGCCATAGGGGCCGGCGAGGCGCGGTAGGCTAGGGCGCGGGTCGGAAGCGGGCGGGGGGACCTAACCTACTCTTGATACCATGTTAGAATACTATAATAATAAGAAACAAGAGAGAACAAGGAGGATATAGGGTTGGGTTGTACCCTCTAAGAACATACACTTATTCTTGCCTATTACTTCTACATGCAAATGTATGTATAAGTTGACAGCACGGTCAACGGTTTGCGACCGTTGCCCTTTCGTACCCTCTGTGAGGTGTCGTCAATTTGTGTGCATCGTCGGGGGTACTGTACCAGTGTTGACTCGGTAATCCTGTTGTAGTCTTCACGTATTTCGTACACTCACGCGAGACTCCGGAAATGTCTATAGTCCTTTTATCATTTCCAACAGCCTCTACCTAGGCTAGGGGGTGTGTCAGCAAATCTATATTTATATGTAGTTAATTATGTTTGTTATAACCTAGCTAGCTAGATTAGCTCTTAGAGAGTACAACACCTTGTACTTGTATCTCTCTCTCCCTACTAGTGCAACTTCTCCCGCTCTGCAACAGCTTGGTCCCTTCAAAAAAAAATCCACACAACACAACCCCCCATTCAGGTTAGGCTCGCCTTCGGGGAGTCTTTTAGCTGAGCTCATATGGTACGTCATCATTACAATAACTTTGGAAATCTTTAAGAATCACATGTCTTAGAGGGACAGATTAGCAGGCTTAGGAAGCAGTCCCAGCAGCTGAAACATCTCTGCATCCTCATCCTTGTCATTATTCGCCGTCGTCAGAAGCCGTTCACCAGTGAAAATCGAGTTGGCGCCGGCCAAGAAGCAGAGCGCCTGCTCCGCTACAGACAAGCCAAGCCGCCCGGCGGACATGCGCACCATGGCCTGCGGCATGACGATGCGGGCGGCAGCAATCATGCGCAGCACGTCCCATATGGGCACGCGCGGTTGGCTCTCGAGGGGGGTGCCGGGGATGGGGACGAGGAGGTTGACTGGCACGCTCTCTGGGTGCTGGGGCAGGGTTGCCAGCTCATACAGCAATCCGACTCGATCCTCCTCTGCCTCGCCCATTCCAATGATGCCTCCTGTTAGGTCGAGAGCAGTGGATGGAAGGAGAAGAGGAAAGCGGTAAGGTGGGGATGGGGACGAGAGCAGGTTGACTGGCACGCTCTCTGGGTGCTGGGGCAGGGTTGTAGCTCATAGAGTAGATCGATCCTGTCCTCCTCTGCCTCGCCCATTCCAATGATGCCTCCTGCAAGATTGGACGAAAGGGAGATGAACAGGAGAGACGTACGATGGAGGTAAAAACAGAGGAAAAGACGGCACGCTGGATGTTGTTATTCTTCCGCCAACTCCCTCTGGTCACAACAAAAGAGAGGGACGGAAGAACCTACCAGAGCACACGGAGATTCCCGCATTGCGAGCATAGGCAATGGTCTGCAGGCGGTCGTCGTAGGTGCGCGTGCTGATGACGTTGGGGTAGAACTCGCGCGACGTGTCGAGGTTGTGGTTGTAAGCGGTGAGCCCAGCCTCCTTCAGCTGCACCGCCTGCTGCTCCGTCAGCATTCCAAGAGTGCAGCACACCTCCATGCCCATGCCCCTGGAAATGCGAACAGGAATCGGAGAGTGGGGAATGGGGGTTGGGGAGTGGGAGTGGGGAGTGGGAGTGGGGAGTGGGAGTGGGGAGTGGGAGTGGGGAGTGGGGAGTGGGGAGTGGGAGTGGGGAGTGGGAGTGGGAGTGGGGAGTGGGGAGTGGGGAGTGGGAGTGGGGCGTGGGGAGTGGGAGTGGGGTTGGGGAGTGGGGAGTGGGAGTGGGGAGTGGGAGTGGGGAGTGGGAGTGGGGGTGGGGAGTGGGGAGTGGGAGTGGGGAGTGGGAGTGGGGAGTGGGAGTGGGAGTGGGGGTTGGGGAGTGGGGAGTGGGAGTGGGGAGTGGGAGTGGGAGTGGGGAGTGGGAGTGGGGAGTGGGAGTGGGGAGTGGGAGTGGGGAGTGGGAGTGGGGAGTGGGAGTTGGGAGTGGGAGTGGGGAGTGGGGAGTGGGGATGGGAGTGGGGATGGGAGTGGGGATGGAAGTGGGGAGTGGGAGTGGGGAGTGGGGAGTGGGGAGTGGGGAGTGGGAAGAAGGGGGAAGGTGTAAGATAGAACTCGTTTGGTAGTGCACGCATCCCAGCACACAATTCAAGCGTCACTCACTTAAGCATTTGCACACAGCCCAGCACACGGTTCAAGAATCACTCACTTGATCGTGAAATCAAGCGTCACTCACTTGATCGTGAAATCAAGCGTCACTCACTTGATCGTGAAATCAAGCGTCACTCACTTGATCGTGAAATCAAGCGTCACTCACTTGATCGTGAAATCAAGCGTCACTCACTTGATCGTGAAATCAAGCGTCACTCACTTGATCGTGAAATCAAGCGTCACTCACTTGATGGTGCGCACGTAGCCCAGCACTTTGTTGAAGTCGTCCGTGTGCCCCGTGGCGCCGCGCCACGCCGTGCCCATGCAGAAGCGCGTGCTGCCGCTCTCCTTCGCCTGGAGGGGGGATGGAAAGAGTGGTGCAAACACACAACATAAGGGGTCCATTTGCTAGGTTCACGCCAAGCTCTGCCATGCAGAAGGGCGTGCTGCCGCTCTATTTCGCGTGGAAGCGGGGCGAGGAGTAAGGGAAATGTGATTGTGCATGAGTACTCATATGCAATGCGCCCATGCCAAGCCGTGCCCATGCCACGCCATGGGCACACCCACCTTCTTAGCAGCGCTGATCACTTGGTCTTCGGGCATGAACTTGCCCGGCTCCAGGCTCGTGTCGTAGCGCGACGACTGCGCGCAGTACGAGCAGTCCTCGGAGCACCCGCCCGTCTTCACGGACAGCAGCGTGCACTGCTGCACCTCCCGGTTGCCGTGCACCGCGCGATGCACCTGCGACTGTTGCGGGGATAGAGGAAAGGAGGGCGGAGGAGGGGGGAGGGGAGGAAAGAAAGGGGGGGGGGGGGGGGGGGGGGAGAGGGGGAAAGGGAGATGTGGGGAAGGGGGAGTGCGTCAGGAGAGCGCACTGCTGCACCTCCTGGTTTTCGTGAACAGGGCGGTGCACCTGCGACTGTAGCGCGAGTGGGGAGAGGATGGAAGGGAAGCGGGGATGGGGGGGGAGAGGGGAGGAACGGCGCTGGACTTTAGAAAGCGCACTGCTGCACGTCGCTGCTGCCGTGCAGGTAGCGCCAGAGGTCACAAGCTTACAGAATCTGTAGGACCGTCCCCGAAGTCGCCAGATCTCGTCTCTAGTTCAGCTCAGAGCCGGCTCTCCCGTCATTGCAGTAAAGACGTCGCGTACCAAATAAAAAAAGAGATCAGGCGGCTGCGACTATTGTCCTCACATACCCCGTGATAGACCGCCTGGATCTCCTCCCTCGTCCAGTCCGATTTTTAAGGAGCCTCAAAAATATCCTCCCTCATCCAGTCCGTTCTCGGCGGGTCCGCCATGGCGTACTACCTGATTCAAGCATTAACGAAAAATACCCATATTACCCATACCCACACCACGCACACCCCGTGGAAGATGAGGTCGAGCAGCGGCGACGAGTAGATAACCTGGATCTCCTCCCTCGTCCAGTCCGTTCTTGACGGGTTCAAGAGTCTACTACTTGAGCCAGATATCAACGCCACACGCCCATCGTCACAAACCACACCACGAACCCCGAAGTCACTACCACACCACGCATACCCCGTGGAAGATTAAGTCGAGCAGCGGCGACGAGTAGATCGCCTGGATCTCCTCCCTCGTCCAGTCCGTTCTCGGCGGGTTCGCCATGGCGTACGCCGCCGCTTCGCTCGCTGCAGACGTCAGCGAGGGAGACAGCTGTGGCGATGCGGGCGCTGTGGTTGACGTGGCAGGCGGCGCGGCAGTCGCGGCTGCGGATGCTGCTGCTGCTGAGACTGATCCGGTCGAACCGGAGCCGCAGCAGCTGCCGGACTTTGCGGTGGCGGGAAACGCGGATGAGGAGGAGGAGGGCGGGGTGGAGGAAGGTCCGACGGACACGCACACGAAACGTGGCGCGCTTCTCGGAGCGAGCCGTGAGGCCGTGCGTGACGGGCACGCCAGCACGCGAGCGGCGGTTAGCGAGGAGGTGGCCATGGGAGAATTAACCCAGGACGAGAAGCGATCGGATCAGGCGACAAAAGCTGGGGGAAGGCAGAAATAAACTGCAGACAGGGTGAGCTGATCCGATCTCGTGACTTGTGAAACAACTAATCACGCGCTAACCGGAGCGTGATACCGTGTGGCTGCGTGCTGAGAATGGCGGGAAGAAGGGGCTGCTGCTGTGTGAATAGGAGACCTGCTTGGTCGACGAGACTTGAGTTGACACTGGAATGGAAAAGGCATAAAGCGAAGAAATGAAGGGAGGGGTGGAACGGGGAAACAATCAGAAAGGTGGTGAGGAGTTCATGGTTGAGTTGAGGCAGGAGTAATTAGCCCAAACATTTTCCCGGGCGGTTCATGCATATCGGCACGACTCTACTGGATGCCGAGTGTAGCAGAAATTTAATACTTTCCGGACTAGATGGATGGGAGTACTGACACTTAGCCGTAGGTTCTGCTAAGAAAGTCCTGTACTACACTTCAGACAAGGACGGGAGCAATTCGAGATTGTTGGACAATTGCGACTGGCTAAATATTGTGCGGTTGCTCCCCAAATGCTGCTGGAAACGGGGAGGATGAGGTGTGAAATGTGGAGCTGGGAGCAGACAGGTTCTTGGGGTTTGCGTGACGTGACAATCCGTGTCATAAGCGCCTGACACGTGGCATGCACATCTCTTTCATCAGAAACGAATGCCCCTCCAATCAGCGTGCCCAGAGTTTGTACAGTATAAGCACAACATCACCCTCACAACATGACCATTTCTTCCACTAATTCGCATCAACAACACTCTTTAGTGAACATGCAGTATGCAAGAACTTCAACATAACAACTCCAAACACAAAAATCCTGGCACGGAAAGCAGGGTCCTAATTATCATACTTTTTTTGTGTGATTTTCTTATTTTCGGACTGATTTTTCGGCTTTATCTGATTTTGAAGGCAACGGTTTTGAAAAACTCTGATTGCCCCGCACGATTTTCCAGATATCTCTGAAATTTCCAGACTAGGCGTACAGGATTCTCTGATTTTTACACAAGTGTTTTAAGTTTCTCTGAAACAGATGTTGGGCTGAGATAACCCTATAGGATCTTTGCAAATACTAAGTCCCCAAAAGGATGTTGTACTTGCGGAAGCAAGGTGTAAGACTTAATGAACCTCTTGCAGTGGTATGTGAGAACAAGAGAATTGATTAACACAAACAGCATACATGAATATATAGTTATTTTAGAATACAGGACAGTTACTACAACTGCTGTTGCACTATGAGCGTATAGCGACTCAATACCTTACTGCAGCGGTTGTTGTGCAGTAGGGCTGCCATGTAACCTCCACTCGCAACCTCCAGGTGCAACTGACACGTGCTTTGGTTATACGCATAACTGTGTTATCAATGAACAAGCAAAGTAGCGCGGAAATGAATAACGAAGTGTTCAATCATTGAATGACGATACAAGGAATGGCAAGCCAAGATATAGGAATACCAGAGCTAGTCTAACCATGAGATGGAAAGGTTCAGGAAGGAGATCAAAGGGTCTCGAGTGACGAAGCGAGGCCCGGAGAACTCCCGAAGGTCGAGCCAGAAGGTATGGAGAAGCCGAGGTGATTCTTTCAGAAAGGTCCGGACCCATCCCGAGGCTTCAGGTGTTCAAATTATATAAGTTATAATTTAATATAGGCTTGGTAGGTTGTTACTGAACCTTTCTGTAGGGGGTACAAACCCCTCCTTGTACTCCCCTCTCTTCCTAATCCAACATCTCTTCTCTCTCGACACTCTCGTCAACTTCCTAGCTAAACCCTTGGCCGCCATTTCATGGCGGCCTCCTCTGTTCTTCCTAGTTCAGACTTTAACATCAGGTGTGTTCGAGCGTACGCGATTGCAGTACCGCTCGGTAAGGAATAGAAAATTCCTTACACCACCCCCCCCTTAGCGAAGGTGATCTATATCAGCCACGTGCTTGCGAGCTAAGTAATTCGCAAGTATCGAAGGTGACTGTATATGGTCCGAGAGCACCCACGTGTTGTCCTCACTGGTGCGATTGGTCCATCGTATCAGAAAGTCAACATGTCGTCCTTGGCCGTCGATACGAATCCGATGGCTCAAAATCTTCGAAGGTTCGATGGTCGTCTCTGCTGGTGGCCGTACATCAGGCATCAATCGCTGTCGGGCGATGTCTGATGTGTCAGGTATGAAAGGTCGCAACAGGCTTTCATGGAACTTGTTGTGAATACGCCAATCGTCAGGTAGGCGCAATTGGGCGGTCACCGGCGTCACCATCTTCATAATCGTGAATGGGCCACGGAATTGTGGTCGTAACTTCGTCGGTAGTGGCAGTCGTAAATTCTTGGTGTCCAATAGGACTATTTTCCCCACTGCCTTTGTAATATCACGTCGATGTGAATCCGCATAACAACTGGCAGTAGCGTTCGCCTTGCGAACAATTTTGACAGCTTCCTTTCGGGCAGTCTGTAATTCTTCCACAAACTGCTGCGACCGTGGTACTTGACTCTCAACATTGGTAGAGATAGGTACTGTGGGGTCCATCCCGTAATTGAGGTAAAACGGGGAGTGATTAGTCGTGGCTGAGGGCACGTTGTTGTAGCAAAATTTCAACAGGGGAAGCGCGTCCTCCCATTTGTTTCGGTTGGGGCAGTTTGTCCGAATCAGCTGCTCCATCGTTTGGTTTGTCCTCTCTATCTGACAGTCCGTTTGGGGATGATAAGCGGATGAGAACTGTAGGCCCGTGCCGTACCGAGCCCACGTGTCCTGCCAAAATTTCGACGTGAACTTCGGGTCTTGATCGCTAATGATTGCTGCTGGTATCCCGTGTAGGCGAACAATGGTCGAGATGAACAGTCGCGCGGTTTCTTCGGCTGTGATGGTTGTACTACATGGTGCGAAATGCGCCATTTTCGTCAATCGGTCGACGACAACAAAGACTGCGTCGTTTCCACTGGATCCGGCCGGTAGACCCGTGACGAAATCCATCGTCACGTGTTGCCATGGGCATTGAGGTGGCTCGAGGGGCTGCAATAGTCCTGTCGGTCGCTGATTTGATGATTTCATTCGCTGGCAGATCGGACACGCGACCACGTAACGCTGCACGTCCGTCACCATATCTGGCCAGTAATAAAACCGCTGCAGCGCCTTCAGAGTTTTATCAACCCCGAAATGTCCCGATAAATTCGAATCGTGGACTTCTTGAATTAGTAATTCGCGAAGTAGATGATAACTTGGGACCCAAATTCGATCCGTCCCGCTTCGTACGTAATAGGTGCCTTTCCCTGTAGCGATTGGGAGATGGCCGTCATTTACGAAGAAGGGGTCAGTTGAATACCCATGGTAAATAGTCCACTCAGTAGCGGATTGCTCTGGGCGACTAGTACTGCTGCGAGTTGGGCAGACGGTTTGGAAAGTGTCAGATGTAACTTAGGTCGTTACTGTAGACTATACTAGATTGTGCCTTAGAGGGTACAATACCCTAGTCTATATACCCTTGTACTCGCACATTCTAGTTCAATTATTCTTTCTGAAATGGTATCATTGTAGGTTAGGTTCCCCCCTAGCCCGCCCACGCTTCCGCCCCCTAGGCCCTAGCCACCGTCGTGCCCCGCTCCTAGCCGGCCCTCCTGGCCGTCGCGCTCGTCCCTAGCCGGCCCCTTGGCCGTCGCGTCCGCCCCTAGCCGGCCCCCTGGTCGTCGCGTCCGCCCCTAGCCGGCCCCCTGGCCGTCGCGTCCGCCCCTAGCCGCCCCCCTGGCCGTCGCGTCCGCCCCTAGCCGGCCCCCTGGCCGTCCCGCCCGTCCCTAGCCGGCCCCCTGGCCGTCGCGTCCGCCCCTAGCCGGCCCCTTGGCCGTCACGCCCGTCCCTAGCCGGCCCCCCTGGCTGTCGCGTCCGCCCCTGGCCGCCCCTAGCCGTCACGCCCGCCCCTAGCCGGCCCCCTGGCCGTCGCGTCCACCCCTAGCCAGCCCCCTGGCCGTCGCGCCCGCCCCTAGCCGGCCCCCTGGCCGTCGCACCCGTCCCTAGCCGGCCCCCTGGCCGTCGCGCTCGTCCCTAGCCGGCCCCCTGGCCGTCGCGCTCGTCCCTAGCCGACCCCCTGGCCGTCGCGTCCACCCCTAGCCGGCCCCCTGGTCGTCGCGCACCTCCCTAGCCGGCCCCCTGGCCGTTGCGTCCGCCCCTAGCCGGCCCCTTGGCCGTCGCGCCCGTCCATAGCCACCCCCTTGGCCGTCGCGCTCATCCCTAGCCGCCCCCACCCCCCCCCTGGCCATCGCGCCCATTTCGTGCCGTCCCACGGCCGCCCCTAGCCGTCTCACGGCCGCCCCCTCGCTGTCGTGGCCGCCCCTAGCTGCTGTCGCTGCCATCTCCAGCCGCCTCACGGTCACTCCTGCCGTCGCGGCCGACCCTAGCCGCCCTCGCGGCTGTCCCTGGCCGCCGTTGCGGCCGTGTCTCCTCGCCGTCGTGGCTGGCCCTACTCGCCGTCACGCCATCTCCTCGCCGGCCCCTGTTACCGCCGTTTGCTGGCCCCTCGCGTCTGCCGTCCGCTGGCCGGCTCCTGCATTCGCGTCGTCGCCAGCCCGCCACTGCCTCGGGTTCGGCCCGTTCCTCCCAATCAGCACTGCTCTGCAAACCCCCCCGGTACCGTACTAGACCGCCTTGCACCGCACTGTACCGCACTGCACCACACTGCATCGCACCGCACCGCACTGCACCGCACTGCGTCGCACTGCACCAAACTGTACTGCTCTCCACTTCCCTCTATTGTCACTGATGGCGGAGGTGCTTCGCTTTGACGCTGAGGGCCAGCCGATTGAGTTTGATGCGTGGCTTGCTGACCTCCGTCGCCACCTTACTGGTCAGCAGCAGGATGGCCACTCTCTGTCTGTCCATCTTGAAGGTACTCTCCCCTGCCCTGACCCCCCCGCTACACTGTCTACTAATCCTCGTCCGCTGAGCGTGAGTCCGCTGCGGCCGCTGCCCTTGCTCGCTCTGTCTGGCTGTCTCGTGACACTGTCGCACGGCTTGCCATTAGCAATGCCCTCCCCCTGTCCGAGCGACCTCGCTTCAGGTCTATCACCACTACCCAGGCTTTCCTAGATGCTGTTGTCCAGTGCTATTCCACCCCGCCTGCTGCCTCGGTCGGTCGTCTGATCCTCCCCATGCTCTTCCCTGACCTTGCGTCGTTCCCCACTGTCGCCGACCTGGCCGCTCACCTGCGCACTATAGACGAGACCTGACATGCTGCCTGCACTCCCACACAGCTTCTAGCCCACCAGCCGCCCCTCACCTCTACTCTCTACCTGCTAGCCACCTGCCTCCCTGACCGTCTTGCCACTGCCCGTGACCACTTCCTTAGCGTCCACCCCACAGACCTCAGCCTCACTGACTTTGTCGCTATAAAGGCCCGCCACCGCTCTAATCGCTCAGACCAACGGTACTGTGCCGGTCCCTATCTTTCAGGGTTGCACGCCCACTCAGTGCACCTTCTCTGACGGTTCTGTTGCTGTGGCTGAGACTACCGCTGCAGGACAGGTCCGTCCGGAGAAGGGTCGCTGCCCCAAGGCTGGGCGTGGCGGCGGGGGTGGGGGTGCAGGTGTAGGTGGTGCTGGAGCTGGGTCTCCTGGTGGTGGTGCGGACGAGGGGACCCTGCCAGGTGCAGCCGAGCAGCCGTCTCAGCAGCCGCCGGCATTACAGCAGGACTCACGTTAGCCGCAGGAGTCGCAGTAGCCGCAGCAGTCGCAGCCGCAGCAGAGACGGGCGAGTGGTCTCCCGCCTTGGTGGCCTAGCACTGGTGGTAGCGTTGGCGTGGTGGTGGTGCGCGTGGTGGGCTGCCGGGTGGTGGTTCGGGTGACCACGCTGTCAGTACCTGCTCCAGACCGGTCCTCGCCGTGGCTTCGTTTGCGGTAAGATCGGTCACACCTCCGTCCGCTGTTTCCGTCGCTTGGACGACCTGTTTCGTCAGTGTTTTGGCCCGTCGCCCGAGCTCCCAGACTGGCACAGTTTGCTTCGTCGTAGGGTTCATATTTTTGATCTGGATATGGATGAGATTGTTACTACTCTGCATGTGATGTATGCTGATGACTCTAGTGTGCTTCCGTCTTATTACCCCTTGTTGCCTAGTGTAGGTGTGCCTTGCTTAGACTCCCCTGCTGCGTCAGGCGTAGGATCCCCTACTTTGTTTAGCCTTGGTGCTTCCGTCGCTGCTTCGCCTCCGACCGCCACTGCCGTGCTCTCCTTCACCCTCGACTCTGGCGCTTCCTAGTGCTTCTTCCGCGACTCCACCACGTTGACACCGCTTCCTGTCCCTGCCGCAGTCTCTCTTGCTGACCCCTCCTCCAGCCCAGTAGTCGCCCGCAGTTCCACCACCCTCCCCTGCCCAGCAGTTCCTTCGGGCTCGCTCACAGGACTGCACATCCCCTTGTTCTCCAGGAACCTAGTTGGTGTGGCTTACCTTCAGGACCTTGGCGTCACCACTACGTTCCCTGAACACGAGCGGTACGCTGTCTGTACCGAGGCCGCCACTGGTGCCCCCTGTCCACGTTCCCACGAGACCCCGTGTCCGGTCGTTTCACACTGGACACGGTGACCCCCTCGGCTGGGAATCCCCCACAGGTGACTGCGTCTCCCCCGGTTGCTGCTGCCTGCTCCTGTCGGTCTCTCACTCACCCGACTCTTCTCTGGCACCACCGTTTAGGTCACCCTGCGCTCCCGCGTTTGCGTCACATGTCACAGCACTGTCTCGTCCTAGGCCTCCCCGGGTCGTTCCCCGAGTTTCCCTCCTCCCCAGCCCCACCTTGCACGCCCTGTGTCGAGGGCCGGCTCCGCCGTGCCCCTCACTCCTCCTTGTTTCCCCCTACTGCAGCACCGCTACAGACTCTGCACATGGACGTTTGGGGCCTCGCCCTCGCCCATGGGCCGCGTCGAGAGCGCTACTTCCTAGTGCTTGTCGACGACTACACGCGCTACACCACTGTGTTCCCCCTAGAGCGGAAGGCCGAACTGCCTGCCGTTCTTATCCCGTGGCTTGTCTCTGCGTGTGTCCACCGCGGTCTCCCTGTCTTGCGTCTCCACTCCGACCGTGGTGGCGAGTTTGCCTCTGGTGACCGTGGTGGTCGTTTCTGTCATGCGGAGGGCATCACCAAGATGTTCACCTTGCCGGACTCCCCGCAGCAGAATGGGGTCGCTGAGCGACGCATCGTTTGGTCATGGAGGTGGCTCGCACCTCCATGATCCATGCCGGGGCACCCCATTTTCTGTGGCCGTTCGCCGTTCCCTATGCCGCTCACCAGCTTAACCTGTGGCCGCACCCCCAGCAGCCTCAGGTTTCGCCGACCCTCCTCCGGTCTGGGTCACCTGGTGACGCAACTGCGTTCCGCGTTTTGGGCTGCCTTCCTCACGTTCGTGCCTCTGGCACGGACAAGCTCACTGCCCACACCCTTCCCTGTGTCTTCCTCGGCTTCCCCTTTGACGCGTCTGACTGGCACTTCTACCACCCGCCGTCTCACCGGTGCTTTCACTCCCGTGACGTCACCCCACTTACGTCGGTTGTCCCGGTTGAGGAGTCTGCTTACTCTGGTGGTCCTGCGGTATAGTCCTTGCCGCCTGCCCCTTCTCAGGTGTCTCCTCCTCCGCCGCCTCCGCAGCCGCCGTCGACACCGCTGTCGCAGCCGTCATCACCGCCACCACCGCCGCCGCCGCCGCAGCCGTCGTTGCAGCCGTCGCCGCAGCAGTTCGTTGCCTCTGGGGGTGTTGGAGTTGGGGTGGGTACTAGTCCTGGGACTCCTGTCGTGGCTTGTCCCGTCGGGCCTAGGGGTGGTACCGGTGCTCGAGGGGTTCTGAGCTCTGGGGGTGTTCCTTCTGGGGGTGATGGCAAGGATTGTTTTGGAGGTAGTTGCCAGGCAGCTTGCGGTCCCAGTGTTGGTGTCACACCGCCGCCGCAGCAGTCCCCGCCGGTGTCCGCTCTTCGCCTGCTCGGCCTTCCGTCCCCTGACCCCGTGCCCGCGCCTCCTCCTCCTCCTGTTTCCGGCCCTGTATTCCCTCCTCTGGACGCGTCTTTGGCCCGTTTCCCCCCTCGTTTCCCTCCTGTGTCCCCTCCTCTGTCCCCTGACCCGACTCCTCCGTCTCACGTCTGGTCTCGCCGTCCCTCCCGTGCTCGACCTGTCTCCCCTGTGGCGTGCTCTCACCCTATGTTGCTTCGTTCCCACGCGTCTGGTCCTCCCCTTCTCCCGTCGCCCCCTCCGTCCTCCCTTGTCGTTGCTCCCCCCCCTCTGTCTGACTACCTGTGTGCCGCCCGTCCTCTTGTTCCTCGGGTCCTTGCCTCTCTCGTTACCGACCCGTCTGTTCCGGTTTCGAGCCTTGACGCCCTTGTCGCTGCGGTCGTTGACTTCGCCTCTACCCACCGCCTTGACTACGCCACCGCTCTGGTCTCTGACCCTGGCTGTCCTCCGTCTGTCGCGGGTGCTCCTGCCCTCGGCAGTGACGTCCTGGAGGACCGCCAGTACGAGCTTGCTTTCCTGTCCGAGGCTGCTCCCCATCTCTGCTCTATGCTTCTAGTCCCTGAGGGTGACCCCGACGCTTTCAACATCCCGACCCCTCGCACTTACGCTGAGGCGGTCTCGGGACCATGGGCCTCTCAGTGGATAGCTGCCATGGAGTAGGAGATGGCATCTTGGAGATCCACCGGCACCTACGTCGACGCAGTTCCCCCACCTGGGGTGAACGTAGTCGATGGCCGCTGGCTCTTCAAGGTGAAGCGCCCTCCCAGAGAGCCGCTTGTGTTCAAGGCGCGCTACGTGGCTAGAGGTTTCAGTCAGCGTAAGGGGGTGGACTTCTTCCAGACCTTCGCTCCGACCCCGAAGATGACTACTCTTCAGGTGCTGCTATACGTAGCAGCTCATCGTGACTACGAGCTTCACTCCCTCGACTTCTCCACTGCGTTTCTTTACGGCAGTCTACAGGAGCAGGTCTACCTACGCCGCCCTCAGGGCTTCACTGGTACCTTCCCTCCTGGGACCCAATGGCTCCTGCGGCGCCCCATCTACGGCCGCGGCAGGCTCCCCGTGAGTGGCACGACACGCTGCGTGCTACGCTTGCTCACATGCAGTTCATTCCGTCCTCTGCAGACCCCTCGCTCTTCCTTCGTGCTGGCCAGACCCCGTTCTACATCCTTGTTTACGTAGACGACCTGGTCTTCGCCACAGCAGACAGGAATGCACTGGCCTCCGTGAAGGCAGAGCTGCTGAAGAGACACACTTGAACTGACCTTGGAGAACTGCGCCACTACCTTGGCTTGCAGATCTCCAGGGACAGAGCAGCGTGCACCATCACTTTGACTCAGTCACACTTGGTGCGCCAGCTCCTTCACAGGTTCGGCCTTCAGTTCTCCTCCGCACAGCCTTCACCTCTGCCTCTAGACCACAGGCTCTCCGCTCTAGTTCCTGAGGAGTCAGCAGAGCCCAGTGGTCCTTACGCAGAGCTGATGGGTTGCCTCATGTACCTGATGACTTGCACTCGCTCAGATCTCGCATACCCTCTCAGCATCCTGGCTCGCTTTGTGGCTACAGGCAGACACCGACCTCAGCACTGGTCTGCCGCTTAGAGGGTTTTGTGTTATCTTGCAAGTACATCGGGCATGGGGTTAGTGCTAGGAGGACGCAGGCCAGTGGTCCTTACTGGACACACAGACGCTTCTTGGGCAGACGACGCCAAGACCCTCAGGTCCTCGCAGGGCTACTGCTTCAGCCTTGTTTCAGGTGCCATCTCGTGGAGAGCTACCCGCTTCTCGTCTGTTGCCCAGTCCAGCTATGAGGCCGAGATCTACGCCGGTGCCATGGCGGCACAGGAGCTCCGCTGGCTGACCTTCTTGCTCACTGACTTAGGTGAGCGGCCTAGCTCTGCCCCGGTCCTGTATGCTGACAACAGGGCCATGATCCTCCTGTGTCAGGAGCCTCGACTCGAGGGCAGAGCGAAGCACATCCAGCTGCGGTACTTCCTTCTGTGTCAGCTCCAGCATCGCCGCCAGGCGCGCGTAGTACACTTGGCCTCCGGTGCTAGCACAGCTGATATCTTTACTAAGGCACTTGTGCCTAAAGATCATCAGCGGCAGTGTGTACAGCTAGGTCTCGTTCCTGTAGCCTCTCACTTGCTAGGGCCTTGACGTTGTACTGTCCTTTATATATATATTTTACCCTGACTGGCCTTGTGGCCTCTCCCAGTGGCTGGACTAGTAGTGCCGCCCTGGTCTTGCTCTTGTCTTGTTTGTACTCCTTTGACTGGTCTTTAGGCCCTTGCCTCAGAGGCTGGACTAGTAGTGTTGCCCTGAGCTGCTTCTTTCCCTGTTAGGCACTGCCCCTATATAGTCTAGGGGGTGTGTCAAATGTAACTCAGATCGTTGCTGTAGACTCTATTGGATTGTGCCTTAGAGGGTACAACACCCTAGTCTATATACCCTTGTACTCACACATTCTAGTTCAATTATTCTTTCTGATAGAAGGGCGTCTGCAATATTATTGGCACCCTTTTGTACGTGATCTTGTATGTCATGTTGGATTCCATATAGTCCAACCTGCGTATTTGCCGTGGGTTGAGATTCGGCTGCGCTCTCAGGTACAGTAGAGATTTATGATCGGTTTGCACCGTCACATTTGCTCCAGTCAGGTAGCACCTCCAGATTTTGAACGTGTGGACAATCGCTAGCATCTCCTTGTCGTGTATCGGGTAGCTGCGCTCGGCAGATTGCATTCTGCGAGACTCGTGCGCGATTGGTTGAAGCCCATTGCCGAAATCTTGCATGCGCACTGCTCTGATGGCGATGTCACTTGCATCGGTGATGACTTCGAAGGGCCGTTCTGGGTGAAGTACTGGTGGCGACATTAAAATATTTTTTAATGCCTCGAACGCAGCTTGCTACTTCTCCCCCCACTCGTAAAAAGTCCCCTTCTGCAGTAGGTCGGTTAGAGGTCCAGTTAACCCCGCCATGTTGGGGATAAAGCACCGTACGTAGTTCACAAAACCCAGAAAAGATTGTAGCTGCTGCAGTTTTGTTGGCGGTTTCCACTCCTGAATAGCCCGGAGTTTTTTCTGGTCTATTTGAATCCCCTCCGTGGAGATCACGTGCCCCAGGAAATCCAGTTCTTTTTTTAAAAGCTCACACTTGGAGGCCTTGGTGATGAGACGATGCTGCTGCAGCCACTGAAAAACAGCTTCCAGGTCCTTCAAATGTTGCTCCCGGGTTGTGCTGTAGTTCAGGATGTCGTCCTGGTAGATTATCACACATTTGTCGAGTAGATCGCGGAACACCCCATTCATTGTGAGCTGGAACGTCGAGGGGGCGTTCGTTAATCCAAACGGCATCACCGTGTATTCGTAACTCCCGTAGCGAGTACGAAACGCGGTCTTGTGGCAGTCGCCAGCGAATTTGCTGGTAACCGCCACGAAGGTCGATCTTCGAAAAGTAGCGAGCTCCTCGAAGGTTGTCAATCAGCTCATCCGTGCGTGGGATTGGGTAGCACGATTTTATCGTTGCTCGATTAAGGGCGCGATAATCCATACACATGCGAAGTCCGCCGTCCTTCTTGGGTGTGAACAGGATCGGTGCTGCGAACAGGGACGTGCTCGGCCGAATAAACCCTTTTGCCAGCAAGTAGTCCAGCTGGTTTCGTAATTCGTATAGCTTCGGCTGAGTCAGGCGCCATTGGGTTCGTAGAGTAGGCTGCGCGCCGGGCTCCAGCTCAATTTTGTGGTCCTGGGGTCGTTCGGGCGGCAGTCCACTTGGCAAATCGTCCGGGAAAATCTCATGATACTCCCGAATGATTGTTGCCAAGTCATCCAGGACTGAAGCGCAGAGTTTGTTGATGTCGGTCGCCTCTTTCTGCTCCGTTGATTCCGTTATATGGATGGCGTATAAATCCGCTCCATTCTTGACCGCTCATTTGAGGCACACCGCGTTGACTCGTGTCGATGTCGTCTCCGCTTTCGGCCACGTGGGTAATTTTTGCTAGCCTATTTCGCACTTCACTGTGCACTCGCTTGTCGTCCAATCGATCTGCGGGTTGAACCTTCGCAGCCAATCGCGTCCCAACAGTACATCGTAGCCGTCGAGTGTTGTCGCCAACATCAGCGCGCTGAAGCCGATATCTTCGCCACACTTCATTCGAGCGACGGGTACTCTGTCGTGAATCGCCAGCGGGGTGCCATCCACCAGTCGCGCGTTGATTTCGGGTAGACACTGCTCCAGTGATAAGTGTAGTCTTCGTGCTGTCTCTCGATTTATCAGGCTGTGACTCGCACCTCCGTCGATGAATATTTTTATTTTTCTTCCACTGAGTCGTCCCTCCGCCTGTACAGGGTGGTCCACTGGGTCATCCCCCTTATTCAGCCGGGAGCGGTTGATAGCGTGTATCGGAACTACTACCCGGTGGGGATGGTGTTTTTTGGGCGATGAAACATCGCCAGTAGCGGTCAGGCCCCCTGCTGACCTGGTGGGGATGTAGGGGGCCCGACCGCTACTGACGCTTGGCGTTTCCCGACCTGCCTTCATCGTTCTTCTTTATCTGCTTCCTTCGGGGGCAATCGTGAGATTGGTGACCCGGCTGGTGGCAGTTGAAACATTGTCCCTTGCGAAAATCTTCCATGTGCTCCCTCGCCACTACGCCGTGAATCGTGGGCCGTGGATCTTGGCCACGAAAACGATTTCCCTCCCGGGAACCCGCTCTCGCATACGTCCGATGTGCGTCGAAAGTGTTTGCGATCCGGGCCGCTTCATGAAACATCGCCAGAAGTCGCAGTCGGACCTCACATTTTATGTCCAGCTTCAAGCCCGAAATGAATCGAGCTTTCTTCTCGGAGTTTATGCATGTCGGTGATTTGATCCCATAACGCCATGAAGACCGACACGTAATCTTGGACAGAACTCCACTGGCGCCAGTTGTCCAGCTTCGTACGTGCGTTGTCTGAGGCGGATATTGGCTCGAACCGTTCACGCAGAGCTGTACCCCACGCCTTCCACGTGCGAATCTTGGTCGATCCAAAAATCGTGGTTGACCCTTGGGCAGCAGACCCAAAGTTTCCGAAAAAAACCCTGTGTGTCGCCTGCCAAAAACTCCCCCTCCTGTAGTGTATATCGCCACCAATCTAGCGCAGGTTCCCACAGTAATGATACAGCCAGCCGTATTTTTTAATCGTCAGCAGTGATCCCAGCGGCATTAAAATACAGCTCCGCCGAGAATAACCAGCCCGTAACAGTAGTATTCTTATCTGTGGGGTTGAACGGGGGCAGCATTGTCGGTTTGATCGTCGTTGTCGTCATTATTGGCACGAATGTCGGTGCGGCTACATTAGTGGCTGCTTCTGACCGAGCGGCTGCTGCTGTCGCTGCTGCTTCTGCTGCTGCTACTGCTGCTTCGGCTGCTGCTCGTGTGGCCACGTCAGCTGCTGCGGCGGCTTCGCTGTCCTTGCGCTCCTGCGACACCTCACGTGCAATTTCGTCCAAAACGGTTTTGACACGTCTGGTGCTGGCGACCTCCTCTTGGGCGGCAGTTTTCTGGCGCGAATCCTCTCGCGCCTGGCGTAACTCGGCAACTTCTGCATGAAGCCACTCGTTGTCCTCCAGCAATTTAGCCATGCGTGTGTTCATGGCGTTGAACTGCTCCCGAAGCTCATTGAACTGAGCTTGGTCCATTTGGCAAATGCTCCGCCGGGGCAAGGGGAAATACATATTGTGCCTGTACTCAGGTAAGCGCAAATGCTATCATAGTTGGGTGAATTAATCAGTCTAATTCGCGAGCAACCGCTTTGCAGCTTACGTGAGGGACTTACCCCCCCCAAAAAAAATCAACTCACAAAAACGGGTGAGCGAGGAAAGTGGCTCTGAATACCTGGTGTTATGAACGAACAAGCAGAGTAGCGCGGAAATGAATAACGAAGTGTTCAATCACTGAATGACGATACAAGGAATGGCAAGCCAAGATATAGGAACACCAGAGCTAGTCTAACCATGAGATTGAAAGGTTCGGGAAGGAGATCGAAGGGTCTCGAGTCTCCTCTTCTCGATTTCGTCTTTCACGAAGAAGTAGCGTAGTGCAATGTGCTTTATGCGGTTAGTGAAACCGTTTTTGTTTGCAATTCGGATTGAAAATTGGTTGTCGCAGAAGAGGGAGGAACTGGGTAACGCAGCGAGCTTGGCCTCTTCCAACAGCTCGCGAAGGTACAGTCCTTCCTTGGCGGCTGTGCACAGAGCTATATACCCTGTTTCAGCAGAGGAGAGGGCAATTAGCTCTTGCTTGTTCGACTGCCATGAGATGGGCCCGATGGGCTCTAGTCGGTAGACGTAGCCGATTCGAGATCGTCTGTTGTCAGAGTCGCCGGCGTGATCAGCATCGACGTAGCCGATTAGCTTAGGCGATGCATTCTTTGTCTTGTGATAGGTTAGGCCGATCGTTGGCGTTGAGTTGAAATAGTGGAGCACGCGATTAAAGTTCGGCTAGATGCTCTGCCTCGGATCGTTCGAGGTGGGTGGGGAGTTGGCTCCCCGAGTAGGATAGGTCCGGTCGGTAGGTTACAGCGGCGAAGAGAAGACAACCCAAATTCTGCTGGTAGTCGCGCAGTCCGACAGACGCGAGTATGGTTGAGTCCGTTGTGTCGCTCGGCGCGGTGTAGAGGTATGGAGTGGAGATCGCCGCCGAGGTGAGGTCAAACCTCTTAGCGATGATGCCGGCGTACATTGAGGCGCTCTGGTAGATCGCCTCATCTGCGTCCAGCACGTTCAAGCCGGGGTACTGGCTCACCGAAGGGGAGACCATGAGCGTGAGATCCGTTGTAGCTCCCCTTCAAACCAGGCAGTGACGGCAGTGGTCGAGCCTACATACAGCAGATCGTCTACATAGACGATCAGCAGTACGTAGGCGGCTTCTCGTGTGAGCCTGTACATACTCTGGTCATGCGGCAACTGTAAGAACCCGATGCGGATGAGCTGCGCATGAAGGTGCTGTTGCCAGAGTCGTGGGGCCTGTTTAATCCCGTAGAGGGATTTCACAAGCTGGTTGGGATCTTTGACGAACCCGTGCGACTGCTCTACAAAGATCTCAGCATCGACGGGCGCGTATAGGAACGCATTTTCCATGTCGATCTGGCGTAGCGACAGGCGATGTATGGCGGCAACTGTGAGCAGAATTCGCAGAGACGTGTGTCGACTGACGGGCACAAAGGTTTCTGTGAAGTCACGCCCATATTGCTGGTCAAAGCCCCGAACGACCCAACGAGCTTTGAAGCGCTCGATCGTGCCATCTGCTTTGGTCTTTACTCTGAAGACCCATTTTCCTGAGAGGATTGTTTTGTCGTGTGCCTTTGCGATGGAGACCATTTGTGAGGGTCAGCAAACGTAGCACGCATCATGTCGTACCACTCATGGGGCGCCTGCTGCGGGCCGTAAGCCGGGCGCCGGAGGAGCCACTCGGTACCACGGGCGAAGGTGCCAGTGAAGCCGGGTGGATGGCGCAGGTAGACTTGCTCGTGCTGACTTCCTTGGAGAAACGCTGTGGAGAAGTCAACGGGGTGGAGCTCGTAGTTACGCTGTGCTGCTACGTATAGCAGTGCCCGAAGAGTGGTCATCTTCGGGGTCGGGGCAAAGGTCTTGAAGAAGTCAACACCCTCGCGCTAACTGAAGCCTCTAGCAACGTAGCGCACCTTGAACACTGGCGGCTCTCCAGGCGGGCGCTTCACCTTGAAGAGCCACCTGCCATTGACTACGTTCACTCCAGGTGGGGAACTGTGTCGACATCGGTGCCGGTCGATCTCCAAGATGCCATCTTTGCATCCATGGCAACTATCCACTAAGAGGCCCAGGGTCCCAAGGTCGCCCAAGTGTGAGGGGCCGGGATATCAAAGGCGTCTGGGTCACCCTCAGGGACTAGCAGCATGGAGCAGAGATGGGGAGCGGTCTCGAAAAGGAAAGCGGGCTCATACTGCTTGTCATCTAGAACGTCACTTCCACCGGCAGGGACACCCCCGACGGACGGTGGATGGGCACGGTCAGAAACCAGAGCGGTGGCATAGTCAAGGCAGCAAGAAGAGGCAAAGTAAGCGTTGGCAGCGACAAGAGCGTCAAGACTAGAGACACAAACGGACGGGTTGGTAATAAGAGAAGCGAGAACGTGAGAGACAAGCAAACTAGCGGCATGGAGGAAGTCAAAGAGAGGAGGAGGGGAGACAACAAGCAATGACTGAGGAGGCGAGGATAAAAGGGGAGCACGAGATACGTGAGAATGGAGCAACATAGGGTAAGAGCGCTAAACAGGAAAGACAGGATGAGCACGAGAGGCACGGTGAGACTACCAGCGAGAAGGGGGGGTTGGGTCACAAGACAAGGGAGGAGAAACAACAAGAGAACGAGGGGGAAAACAAGCCGTGGACGAGTCTGGAGGAGGAAACACAGGGCCGTAGATAGGCGGGGGAGGCGGCGGCGGGGGAGGCGCAGGCGGGCGATCGGGGGAAGGAAGACCAAGGAGGCGAAGGGCGGACACCGGCGGCGACAGTTACTGCTGTTGCTCCACGCCGACACCACAGCCTCTAGCAACACCACAACTACCTCCACGACGCTCCACGCCAACACACCCAGAACGAAAAACCTCTCCATCACCCATGCCACCCCTAGGACCACCGGGACAAGCCACGGCAGTACCCCCAGGATGAGCACCCCCAGAACCAGCACCTGCCTCAATGCACGCACCTCCAGAGCTCTAAAACCCCTGCGGCAGTGGCGGCTGCTGCTGCGGCGGTGGCTGCTGCGGCGGCAACGGCGATTGCGGGTGTGGTGGCGGAGGAGGAGCAACCTGAGCAGAGACATGCTGCAAACCCGGAGCCGCAGGGCCCCTAGAGTCAGCCGACTCCTCCACCGGGACAACCGAGAGGAGGGGAGTGACGTGAGACACACCACACGGGGCAGGATGGGGATGGAGATGAGCAGGGGCTACTGGGGGAGTGGGGACTAAGAACAAGGGCGGGGCAACCAGGAGACCTCGGTGAAGAAAGCGGGTATAGAAGGAAACAGACTCGTCAAAATTGGCGTCGCGAGAATCAAAGACAAAGTGAGATGTCGAGTGGTAAAATTGTTAGTCAGATGCGTCTAGGGGGAAGCCAAGAAAGACACAGGGGGCAGTGCGGGCAGTGAGCTTGTCCGTGCCAGAGGCACGAATGTGAGCGAGGCAGCCCTCGACGTGGAACGCAGACGCGTCACCATGGGACCTGGTCTAGAGGAGGGTCGACAAAATCTGCGGCCGCTGAGAGTGTGACCATATGTTAAGCTGGTGAGCGGCGTAGCGAACCGCAAACGGCCACAGAATATGGGGTGCACCAGCATGGATCATGGGGATATGAGCCACCTCCATGACCAAACCGATGCGTTTCTCAGCGACCCCATTCTGCTGCGGGGAGTCCGGCAGGATATACGACTGGGTGATGCCCTCCGCACGACAGAACTGGCCAAGCCGACCGGAGGCAATCTCGTCGCCACGGTCGGAGTGAAGACGCAACACAGGGAGGCTGCGGTGGACTCGCAAAGCTACGACCCATGGGATAAGAACGTCAGACACGTCAGCCTTCCGCTCCATAGGAAACACCGTGGTGTAGCGCATGTAGTCGTCGATGAGCACCTGAAAGTAGCGCTCTCCACGCGGCCCAGGAATGGGGGCTGGGCCCCAGACGTCCAGGTGCGGGGACTGGGGTGGCAGAGTGGTAGGGGGAAGCAAGGAGGAGTGACGGGCACAGCACAGCCAGCCCTCGACGCAGGGCATGCACAGCGGCGCAGGCAAGGGAGGGAGGGCAGGGAGCGACGCAGGGAGACCTACTATTGGACAAGACCGTGGTGGGACGTGTGATGCTGACGTGGGAGTGTGGGGTGACCTAAGCGGTGGTGCCACAGCAACGATGGATGGGTAAGCGACCGACACGATCAAGCCGTAATGACCTGGGAGGGCGCGACCACCTAGGAGGATGCTCCCACAAGGGGGAACGCGGTGTCTAGAGTGAACAGGCCACGCACTGGGTCCCGGGGGAACGTGGTGAGGGGGGCACCAGTGGCCGCCTCGGTGCAGAATGCGTACTGCTCGTGTCCAGGAACGTAATGGTGACGCTGAGGTCCTGAAGACAGCCGACACCAACTAGGTTCATGGAGAACGAGGGGATGTGCAAGCCTGTAAGGGAGCCCGAAGAACCGCCGGACACGGAAGGGTAGTGGAGCTATATGCAACTACCGGACCTAAGGAGGGGTCAGCAAGCGCTACAATAATAGGGGCGGCAAGCGGCGTGAGCGCATTGTGGTCGCGAAAAATGGAGGCGGACGCACCGGAGTCTTGCGTGAATGAGAGCGCAACGGTGGCGTTCGAAGGTGGAGGAGCTAGAGTGGAGTTGAGGCTAAACAAGGCAGGTGGTCCTACGCCTGACGCAGCAGGGGAAACTAGGCTACACATAGTGGACACACCTATACTAGGCAACACAGGGTAATAGGATCCAGTCGCATTAGAGTTATCAGCATACATGACATACATAGCATACCTAATCTGATCCATATCCAGCTCAAAGATAGGCACACAACGACGCACCAGGTTGTACCAGTCGGGGGGGTCCGATGCGGGGCCGAAGCGAAGATGGAAGAGTTCGTCGAAGCGGCGGTAGCAGCGGGTGGCGGTGTAACCAGGATGGTAGCAGACGGTGCCGCGTCGGGGGACATACTGAAATTGGTACTAGCAGGTGACCACACTGGAGCTGCAACCCGACATCGAGCTGCACAGCCCACCACCACGACCACGACCACCAGCGCCGCCGGGCCACCACGGCGGCGGGGGTCCCCGCGGCTGCTACTGCTGCTGCTGCTGCTGCGGCTGCACTGGGGCATCAGCCCCCCCCCCCTCGTCTACACTACCTTCCCCTCCACCACCGCTGCCACCTCCGCCACCTCCGCCACCCCCACCACCCCTCCCGCCACCACGCCCCCCTCGGGCCCGACGTCCCCTACCTTGAGGAGCCTTTGCTGAGGCCACCACAGCGGTCTCAGCAGCAGGGGCCGTCTCAGCAACAGCGGCAGGGACGACAGAGTAAGTGCACTGGGAGGGAGCACAGCCCTGGAAGATAGGGACCACCGCAGTACCGCTAGACCGAGCGATAGTGCGCTGGCGGGTCTCTATCGCGAACAGGGCGGTAACAAAGGTGGTTAGGGTGAGGTGACCTGGGTGTTGACTAAGGAAGTGGTTGCGGGCAATGGCAAAACGGTCAGGAAGGCGCATAGCAATTATGTAAAGGGTAGCGTAGAGGGGATGAGGGGATGCAGTGAGCTAGGCCTCAGTGCTAGCAGCGCGGTAATGTCATAGGATCGAATGTCTCAAGAAAAAGTTGCACTATCGATTGATACAAGGCGCTTTTATACTTCTGAAGTACATTAGGTAACCAGGTTTATCCTATCCAAAGGGAACAGACCCTTCTAGAAATAGAATCACCCTGCATATAGACAAAGGGATTACGTCAAGATTATGCTAGATATAGCACGCCAGTACATCCCGAGCCTGGTTGGTCATATAATTTCAATAATAGGATAACCCAAAGGATAATGAGAAATGAGGAATAGGAAACCAAATGGGATGTGATAAAGATCAAAGGGGTCAGGATAATTAGAAGAATGCGGTAGAGTAAAAAGATGGAAATGAGAAAGAAGGGTAATGGGGTCGTACTCTCACACTTCCCCCCTCAAAGCTGGGTGGTAGAAGTAACACCCTGCTTGACAAGGTAGTCGCGAAGTGGACGACGAGCGTTACCCATCTCAGATTCAGGAACCCAAATATCCTCAAAAGGATCATAACCGTTCCAACGAATGAGAAGCTCAACGGTGCCATTCCGACGACGGCGGTGTGCGAGCACGGACTCGACCTCGTACTCGGGTTCATCGTGGACAAGGACGGGCGGCGGTGGAGGGGGTTGGCATCCGGTGAAGACCTTGTTAGGATCTCGATATGGCTTCAGAAGTTGGACATGGAAGGCGTTGTGAATCTTCCAGGTAGCTGGCAGGCGTAAGCGGAAGGTAACAGGAGTGACCTGTGCTTCGACGAGAAAGGGCCCGCAGAAGCGAGGTTGTAGTTTGGATGGGAGATGACTGATGTCGAGACTGCGGGTGTCGAGTAGAACTTGGTCTCTCACGGTGATGGTGTGGTCAGTGTGGTGGCGATCGGCCTGGCGCTTCTGTTGCTGTTGAATGTCGAGGAGGCGCTTGTGGGTCCGATCCCAAAGCTGATGCATGGTCGTGATGAAGTCATGTGCTGGTTGGACTGTGGCTGATGCTGTCGGTTTTTGTGGCGTGAGCGGGTGGCGTCTGTAACAGAGGAAGAACGGCGTCTAACCAGTAGTGACATGAGTGGTGTTTTTGTAGGCCGACTCCAGGACGGGCAGATGCAAGTCCCATGTAGAGATTTCGTCTTTGCATGCTGCGCGGAGGAGTTGCCCTACAATTTGGTTTAGGCACTCAGTTTGTCCATCTGTCTGCGGATGGTGGGCGGATGACATGGCGAGTTTTGTCCCGAGCAGAGACATCAGTTCCTTCTAGAACTTGCTGGTGAACTTGGGGTCTCGGTCGGAGATGAGTGCGGTTAGAATGCCATGGTGTGAGATGATATAGTTAACGAAAGTTGGTAGCCGGGTTATGAAATCCAGGCTAACCACTTGCCATGGCTGTTCTGGGACAGGACGAGGCTGGAGCAGTCCTGCCTTTTTTTGCTTGCTGCTCTTCATCCGCTGACATGTAGCACACGAGGTGACGAATTTTTGGACGTTGTCTGCCTTGTGGGGCCAGTAGTAGTGCTTTGCAATACCGGTGAGCGTTTTGTTGGTACCGAAGTGTCCCGCGTATAAGACATTGTGGTATTCTTCGAGTAGTAATTGGCGCAAAGGAGGGTAATTGGGTACCCAGATTTTTGTTGATCCCTTCCCGTACGCGATGTCACTGTCCCACTGTAGCAAGTGTCGCTTTTCTGCGAAGGGAATTTCGGGGTCGATGGCGTACCCATGAGTGAAGAGTCCCTTGAGTAGTGGGTTCATCACTTTGACCTGGATTGCGGCAACCTGTGCAGGGTGATTGAGAGCGTCTGCTTTGTTTTTGTGGCCGGGCTTGTACACGATGTCATAGTGGAAGTGCGTCTCGAGGAAGTCAATCCACCGGACCTGCCGCCTGGAGAGGTTTGGTTGTGTCTTCAATTATTTCAGGTCGGTGTAAATGGTTGTCTTTCATCCTTCGAGATAACATCTCCACGTTTTGAAGGCGATGATAATAACAAGGGCCTCCTTGTCGTGTATCGGGTAGTTTAGTTCTGCCCGGTGTAGTTTCTTGCTGAGGTAGGTGATTGGTGGCAATCCATTCCCCTGGTCTTGCATCAGGACTGCTCCCACTGCCTTGTCATTAGCGGCAGCTTCGATGACGGAGTCGCGTTCAGGGTCTGGCAAGGTGAGTATGGGTGCGACATGAGTGCTTGTTTCAGCTGCTCCACGGCTTCCTGATGTTTTGGTTCCCACGTATAGGGCATGTTCTTCTTCAGCAGATCCGTGAGTGGTGTTGCAATTTTTGCGTACTGTGACACGAACCTGTTGTAATAGTTAGCGAAGCCTAGGAACTGCTGCAACTCCTTCACGTCCTCGGGTGTCTTCCACGTGCGTACGGCTTCGATCTTCTTGGGGTCGACGTGAACTCGAGCGCTCACCATGTGTCCTAGGAAATGGACTTTCTCGAGGGCGAATTCATTCTTGGATAATTTGACATAGAATCGTTATCGTCGAAGAATGTCGAAGACGCGTCGCAGGTGTTGGACGTGCTGCTGCATGTCGCGCGAGTAGATGAGGATGTCATCCACGTACACCACCACAAAATTCGTCCAAGGGTGGGCATAGAATATGGTTCATTTCGGCTTGGAACGTTGCCGGTGCGTTGGTGAGCTCGAACGGCATTACCAAATACTCGTAAGACCCATACCGAGTGCGGAAGGCAATTTTGTGGATGGAATTTTCTGCCATTCGTATCTGCCACTATCCGTACCGCAGATCCAATTTGGAAAATACTGTTGCTCCCCGAAGCTGGCCAAGCAGGTCATGGATTTGTGGAATTGGGTATTTGTTCTTGATGGTCTGCTTGTTGAGAGCTCGGCAATCGATGCACATTCGCAGGCTTCCCTCTGGTTTCGGTGTGAAGAGTACTGGGGCACCGAATGGCGAAGTGGATGGTCGGATGAGTCCTTTTGCGAGGAGATACTCGATCTGTTTCTTCTGTCGACTAGCTCAGTGGGGCTGAGCCGATATGGTGCTTGGAAGGTCGGCTACGAACCTGGTTCTTCCACGATCTTGTGTTGGTGTGTTCGGTATGGCGGCAGCTTGTTCGGAAGGTCGTCGGGAAGAATGTCTTGGAACTCCTTCATTAATTCCTTGATTTTCTGTGGAGGTTCCGAGGTATTCTCTCCATTTTTTTCCACATCTGTCGCTATCGCCAAGAACCCGGTATCGGTTCACTTTACTGGAATCTTGCGAGTGTCTCCACTGGGATATCTCCTGTATTGTCCCAGTTGGGTAGCTGGACCCTCCTTCCGTTGTTGTAGATGCTTGTAGTACGATTTACCTAGTTGATCTCGGGGTTGAATATTTTTAGGAAGTCTCGCCCGAAGATCAAGTCAAGCCCTCTTATGTTGGTGATGGGGAGTGCAGGTTTCCAGTGCTGTGGTCTGATTTGTAGGTGTAACACTGCTTCGCCGTGTACTGGTAACTTGCTGCCGTCCACCATCGTGGCAGAGAATGTTGAAGGCTTGTACTCTTCGTGAAGTCGGTCGATTACTGCCTTGTCGTAGACGGTGTGTTATGCTCCGCTGTCCACGAGTGCTTGAAGGCGTCGTCCTTTGCAAATGACCTCGAGCATGAGGGGCGGGCGTTGCTCGGAGTACTCAAAGATAGTTTCGTTAATAGGATCATAGGGTACATCCCAATATTTACTACACACCTTTTTCTTGCTATTTGCTCGTTGTTTGGCAGCTAGCCGAGGCTGCTTGGAGAAAGTCTCTCCTCAGGATCGTGAGCTTTCTTGACGACTGTGTGTGTCGTTGATGCCAAATTTGCTGAGCTAGATGCATCCGAAGGAGGAGTTCGTGGTTTTTTGCAGCTTCTTGTAGACCCCCAGCTTCCTCTTGAGCTGCTTCAGCTCCACCGACGTCTTCCCTTGGGAACAGGTAGTCGTTGTGGTGTGGTGTCGGGAGAGGACGTTGACTCCGTGGAAAGGTCAGCTTCTTTCCACACTCGTTAATTTTGTCCCCAAGTTTTCTGGTACCCGGTATGATCTCCACACGTTTATGCTTCTTCTAGAGTCCCTCCCAAAATTTCTCCAAGGCTTTAGCCCCTCAAGAATCATAAGTTTTCATTAAAGCAAGTAGTCAAAATAATGAAGGCGGGTCCAACTTGAAAGGGCCCTGAAGTTCGTCGTAGTGACTAAGGGACAAACTGGATGGGGTAGAGGGGTTCACTGTTGAGACATGAGAGCAGGGGAAACTGCGCGAGCATGAGCAATTACTTGATTGGTTAGCGGGAAACCCCGATTCGTTTGGTGGGAAACGTGGCATGAGCAGCACTTGGCGCAAACAAACTCAAGTCGCAAATAGTGCGCGACCAGTCGCACAGTCCAACTGCGCGCAAGTTGAACCAAGTGGGCCCAACTTGAATTTCAAGTTGGACCCGAGTTCGCTACTCCTGCTAAACTAGGCTGGTTGCCGATTGGTCAAAATTATTGTCTGCGCATGCTAGTGGTTGTACGATCTGTCACGATAACATTCCCGTCCAGGTGCAATTCGATTTCATGGCCAAGGCAAGCTAAAAAATCCGGGCTGCTGCCCGGCGCGAAGCAAATATTCGCTCAAGGGCCATTTCTAGTTGGGCCAACTAGAAAGAGGGGCCACTATTATAACCTCTCGATTTAAAGCATCCTTATAAGATAACTTTAACGTATCCTTATAATTTATTGGGTCTTCTCGGAGTTTCCTTGTCTCGGCAGAGTCCATTTTCGCGGAGTCAGATTTTTTCTCAGCGATTTTCTCTGGCGAAGACTGGGTCGTAGGGTGGAGATTTTTCCCCATCATTTCCTCCTCCTCGCGTCGAATCAGCTTCATTGAAGTTGATTTTCCCGGAATCCCACGGCCGCTTTCGGATCTTTTCTCTTTTGCCAGCTAGATCCGCGATCACTGGCAAATTCCGTTTTTTGTCTTCTGATTGGCCGAACAATTTCCGCCACTGTTGCGTGCCCGAGACTCTGCTCGAGCGGCTTTCATTTTGTTGCAGTCGAAGATTCGATGGCCCCGCACCCCGCAAAAATCACACGTATAGTTGGTGTTTTTCGGACGTGACCGCCCGTCGAACTGTTGATTTCCATCGGGTTGGCGAACGTTGGGTGAGCCGAGCGGTCGCCCTGTCGCATACTGCCAACGTGCGCCCGTCGTGTTCTGGCGTTGACCATGTCAAACCGCTCTGTTGTCAAAACGGCGTCATTGTAGCTCGCATAATTTGTCGCTACTACCTGTCGTTTGACTTCGGTCTTCAGCCCGTTGAGATACGACTGTAATTTTTTCCCTTCGGTCATGTAGCGGGGCCGGCGCAACTAGCAGGGCCGGCGCAAACTAACGGGGCCGGTGTGAAGTGACGGGGCCGGCGCGGACAAAGCTAGGGTGCGGGCACGGCTAGGGCGCGGGCTCAGCTAGGGCTAGGGCACGGGCGCGGCTCGGGCGCGGCGGGGCGCGGCTAGGGCTAGGGCGCGGTCGCAGCTAGGGCATTGTGTTGGGTTACGATTGTTTAAGGCAATCAAGAACCGAAACCCAAGTGATGGGGAGTGGTAGAACATAGGGAGGGGGGCCTAGCATAGCGTGATATAATTTCAGAATAATGCAATAAACTAGAATGAGTGATACAGGGTGGTTTTGACCTAAGGAGTTGTACTCTCTATGAGCATGCACCTATCTAGCCTATAACATATACAAATATATGTTGATAGCTTGTAACCTATCATGCCCTATGAGAATGAGTGGTAAGGGCATTGTCGAGAGTGGGCTGTGATGTGACTGGTTCACTTCACTAAAATGTTGAAGTGTCCGGTCACAACTGCTCTAGCTAGCTGCGCCTATATTGCCTAGGTTAATTTTGAGAAGGGAAGAGTTGCTACAAGGGAATATGTGTGACCGCGTAATGTGTCACCTCCATGTCTCTTTTGTTGGAAACAAAGAATTGGAGAAGTAACCCATTACTTAAGCGATACTGTGAAATGGTCACAACAAGTACGTCTAGTCAACGGAGGTTACACGCTGCAGCTGTGCGTGTAACCAAAGCGCGTGGCAGTTGCACCTAAAGGTTGCACGGGAGGTTACGTGGCAACCCTATTGCACAGCAACCGCTACAGTAAGGTATTGAGTCGCTATACGCTCGATAGCGTAACAGCAGCTGTACTAACTGTCCTATATTCTAGAATAACTAAATATTCTTGTTTCTGTTTGTGTTAATCAATTCTCTTGTTTTCAACATACCAGTGCAAGAGGTTCATTAAGCCTTACACCTCGCTTCCGCAAGTACAACATCCTTCTGGGGACTTAGTCTTTGCAAAGATCCTACGGGCTTATCTCAACCCAACATGGTATGAGAGCTAGTGGAAGACTAGGTTCCTGCGAAGTTCATTACAAGCACTCTCAGCTCTACAAGTTCATCAGTAAAACCCACTCCAAGATTTCAAGATATGGCATTACAGAAGGAAGTGAGATCCTCCTGGCTCAACACCTACTATGCCCCCAGTCTCCTGGTCTACAGACAGAAAGGTGTCTGCGCAAGAAACAGCCCCGAAAGCATCTTCTGAGCAAGCGGTCCCTCTGACCAGCTTCGACCCAAGTCGGATGGAGCGCTTCTTCTCCTTCATGTCAACATA